CTCACACAGAGACCCATAGACTCACACAGAGACCCATAGACTCACACAGAGACCCATAGACTCCACAGAGACCCATAGACTCACACAGAGACCCATAACTCACACAGAGACCCATAGACTCACACAGACCCATAGACTCACACAGAGACCCATAGACTCACACAGAGACCCATAGACTCACACAGAGACCCATAGACTCACACAGAGACCCATAGACTCACACAGAGACCCATACACTCACACAGAGACCCATAGACTCACACAGAGCCCATAGACTCACACAGAGACCCATAGACTCACACAGAGACCCATAGACTCACACAGAGACCCATAGACTCACACAGAGACCCATAGACTCACACAGAGACCCATAGACTCACACAGAGACCATAGACTCACCAGAGACCCATAGACTCACACAGAGACCCATAGATCACACAGAGACCCATAGACTCACACAGAGACCCATAGACTCACACAGAGACCCATAGACTCACACAGAGACCCATAGACTCACACAGAGACCCATAGACTCACACAGACCCACATACTCACACAGAGACCCACAGACTCACACAGAGACCCATGGACTCACACAGAGACCCATAGACTCACACAGAGACCCACTCACACAGACCCACTCACACAGAGACCCATAGACTCACACAGAGACCCATAGACTCACACAGAGACCCATAGACTCGCACAGAGACCCATAGACTCACACAGAGACCCATAGACTCACACAGAGACCCATACACTCACACAGAGACCCATAGACTCACACAGAGACCCAAATACAGCATCACACAGAGACACATAGACTCACACAGAGACCCATAGACTCACACAGAGACCCATAGACTCACACAGAGACCATAGACTCACACAGAGGACCCATCACGCCGACAGAGACCCTAGACTCACATAGACTCACACAGAGAACCCATAGACTCACACAGAGACCATAGACTCACACAGAGACCCATAGACTCACACAGAAGACCCATAGACTCACACAGATACCCATATGACTCACAGAGACCCATAGACTCACACAGAGACCCATAGACTCACACAGAGACCCATAGACTCACACAGAGACCCATAGACTCACACAGAGACCCCATAAGACTCACACAGAGACCCATAGACTCACACATAGACCCATAGACTCACACAGAGACCCATAGACTCACACAGAGACCCATAACTCACACAGAGACCCATAGACTCCACACAAAGCACCCATAGACTCACACAGAGACCCATAGACTCACACAGAGACCCATAGACTCCTACAGAGACCAGAGCCTCACACAGAGACCCATAGACTCACACAGAGACCCATAGACTCACACAGAGACCATAGACTCACCAGAGACCCATAGACTCACACAGAACCCATAGACTCACGACAGAGACCCATAGACTCACACAGAGACCCATAGACTCACACAGAGACAAGAGACTCACACAGAGACCCATAGACTCACACAGAGACCCATATACTCACCCAGACTCACACAGAGACCATAGACTCACACAGAGACCCATAGACTCACACAGAGACCCATAGACTCACACAGAGACCCATAGACTCACACAGAGACCCATAGACTCACACAGAGACCCATAGACTCACACAGAGACCCATAGACTCACACAGAGACCCATAGACTCACACAGAGACCCAGACTCACACAGAGACCCATAGACTCACACAGAGACCCATACTCACACAGAGACCCATAGACTCACACAGAGACCCATAGACTCACACAGAGACACTCACACAGAGACCCATAGACTCACACGAGACCCTAGACTCACACAGAGACCCATAGACTCACACAGAGACCCATAGACTCACACAGAGACCCATAGACTCACACAGAGACCCATACTCACACAGAGACCCATAGACTCACACAGAGACCCATAGACTCACACAGAGACCCATAGACTCACACAGAGACCATAGACTCACACAGAGACCCATAGACTCACACAGAGACCCATAGACTCACAGAGACCCATAGACTCACACAGAGACCCATAGACTCACACAGAGACCCATAGACTCACACAGAGACCCATAGACTCACACAGAGACCCATAGACTCACACAGAGACCCATAGACTCACACAGAGACCCATAGACTCACACAGAGACCATAGACTCACACAGAAACCCATAGACTCACTACAGAGACCCATAGACTCACACAGAGACCCATAGACTCACACAAGACCCATAGACTCACACAGAGACCCATAGACTCACACAGAGACCCATAGACTCACACAGAGACCCATAGACTCACCACACACCTAGACTCACACAGAGACCCATAGACTCACACAGAGACCCATAGACTCACACAGAGACCCATAGACTCACACAGAGACCCATAGACTCACACGAGACCCATAGACTCACACAGAGACCCATAGACTCACACAGACCCATACTCACACAGAGACCCATAGACTCACACAGAGACCCATAGACTCACACAGAGACCCATAGACTCACCAGAGACCCATAGACTCACACAGAGACCCATAGACTCACACAGAGACCCTAGACTCACCAGAGACCCATAGACTCACACAGAGACCCATAGACTCACACAGAGACCCATAGACTCACACAGAGACCCATAGACTCACACAGAGACCCATAGACTCACACAGAGACCCATAGACTCACACAGAGACCCATAGACTCACACAGAGACCCAGACTCACACAGAGACCCATAGACTCACACAGAGACCCAGACTCACACAGAGACCCATAGACTCACACAGAGACCCATAGACTCACACAGAGACATAGACTCACACAGAGACCCATAGACTCACACAGAGACCCATACTCACACAGAGACCCATAGACTCACACAGAGACCCATAGACTCACACAGAGACCCATAGACTCACACAGAGACCCATAGACTCACACAGAGACCCATAGACTCACACAGAGACCCATAGACTCACACAGAGACCCATAGACTCACACAGAGACATAGACTCACACAGAACCCATAGACTCACACAGAGACCCATAGACTCACCAAGACCCATAGACTCACACAGAGACCCATAGACTCACACAGAGACCCATAGACTCACACAGAGACCCATAGACTCACACAGACCCATAGACTCACAGAGACCCATAGACTCACACAGAGACCCATAGACTCACACAAAGACACATAGACTCACACAGATACCCATAGACTCACACAGAGACCCATAGACTCACACAGAGACCCATAGACTCACACATAGACCCATAGACTCACGCAGAGACCCATAGACTCACACAGAGACCCATAGACTCTCACAGAGACCCATAGACTCACACAGAGACCCATAGACTCACGCATAGACCCATAGACTCACACAGAGACCCATAGACTCACACAAAGACACATAGTTTGTTGTCCTTCCCCCGCACCTCCTATTAGCGCGGTTGGCTACGTACGGCGCAAAAGAAGTTCAGCGTACAGTGCACCCTCTTCATCATCCTCGACATCTTGACGCGGTCATTCCTTCTCCTCCCCTACCTCTTCCACCCGCTCCTCCCCCCCTCTCTCTGCTCATCATTTTCCGTGCCTCTCTTCATCTTTGTCCGTCTAGGCCAGGGGTCGGCAACCAAAATAACAAGAAGAGCCATTTCTTTCCAATTCGGTACAAAATTCAGTATTTCAAGAGCCGCAATGCATCTGAGTACATACTGTACATACGTACATATCGTCAAGAAGCAGCCCGTAAAGAGCCGCATGCGGCTCCGGAGCCGTAGGTTGCCGACCCCTGGTCTAGGTGGTTGGGGGTTTACTTCCATTCGTGCCATTCCCTTCCTTGCCCCGTCCACCTTGCACCATCCCTCTCTGTATTCTGCCATTTTGTGCAACTGACTCCTACCCCCCCCCCACCCACCCACCTTGCCCCCCCCCACCACATCCCCCGGTATCAACTCGGCTGTCCCAGGTGGGCACGAGGTCACATCT